GAGTGGATGAATGTTGAGTTCAGGTAGTCCTTAACTTACAACCATTTGTTTACTGAGAGTTCGAAGTTACAATGGCACTGAAAAAAGTGACTTATGACCAGACTTCCCACTGAATGACTGTTGCGGCATCCCCATTGCCATGTGCTCAAAAGTTGGACACTTGGCAACTGGCATATGTTTATGATGGTTGCAGCATCCCAGGGTCATGTGATCACCATTTACGACCTTCCCAGACAGCTTCTGGCAAGCCAAAATCAATGAAGGAAGCTGGATTCACTTAATGACTGCATGATTCACTTAACTGTAGTGATTCACTTAACAGGCTTGTTTTTAAAAAGCTTGAATAATTGGTTATGACTCACTTAACAATTAGCTTGCTTAGTCATAGAAATAATGGTCCTCAGAGGGTTGGACTAAAAACGTCCCTTTCAACTCTGTTATTTTACTCTGTTCTATTATGGTCATAAGTTGAGAACTACCTGTAGTAATAGATGTCACTGTTTTGATGTTGGGGTGATGTCTTTTTTTAGCATTTTAGCATATGGGTTTATGTCAGTTTTTTTAATCAACTGCCAGGGGAGTAAGTGATATAAAAATGCTGTTACAATAATCAATAAATATATTATTTATGAAATGCTACCGAAAAGCACTTCTAAAACTTTTCTTTTAAATATGCTACATATTTTTGGAACGCTGAATATTTTTGACAATGAAATGAGCTTAGGTAGCTCCAGATTGTAGGATCCAACTCCATAATTACATTTTCTCCTGCTTGCTCACATTCCCTATTCCTTTTGGCAGGTTCTCGCTGGCATAATTTTTCATAATTGTATTATAGTCTTCTTCCTCAGTTGGAAACATGATCCTAATCAGCAAGGACACACACTGCGGTAGAAATTCTACCTTAGAGATGTAACAGTTTGGAACTCTAGCAGTATTTTCTTGCTGTCAATCAGTTTAGAAAAGCAAGCAGCCAATCAGGTTTGTCTACAATGTGGTGTCATAAGTCAGATTTTGGGGGAAAGGGATGGTAGGGAGATAGAGTATCTGCCTGCAGCTTCCACCAGAAAGCTGAAATTGATATAGATGGAATTGGTGGATGATACCATTGCAGTTTTTCTATCAAAGAAACATGCTAAAAGAGTTGTTTTTCAGCATAGTCTCTGACATGTTGTTTCAATGCGTTTTGACCAAGCCCTTGCTTTTTAAAGATATTTTTGTACTAAGATGTAAGAGCTACAGTTTAGTTGTTCTGTCTGGTTTCTTTTATATTTCATGTTTAGTGATGATGTTATAAAATTGTGCTTTGAAGCATATGAAAATAATTGGCATTGATAGATTAATTCAGTGTTTCTAGACTGTCATTCAGAGTTCTGTGGTATTTTCAGTGAAAAGATTAGCATGATCAGACAAGATTCTTTGAAAACCATTGTCTATCTCTTTTAACATTAGTTGCTCAAATGTATTGGACTTAAGGAAAGTGTCCTTATTCAACAACATGCTTTCTATCTCACAAGTATCTTAAAACACGATGTAGAAAGTAATCCAAATATTCTCACTATCATAGATATTTCAAATAAGAGGTTGATGATTTTCAGAGTTTGGAAATTTGATTTGATTTGGTTTCAATCATTATTTTGAGATTTGTTTCATATTTATGATGCGCCTGAATATTCTTATGTACAGTGGAAACAGAACATTATTCCAGGTCTGGGTTATTGTAATGTATATTGATTTTGTGCTGTCATGACTGCTGATGAATAACAAATAAATGGAATCTGCGTAGTTGCACACACTGCTTTGTTCCCCTGAAGTTGATGTCATTTATTCTCACATTGTTTTGGCATTATCATTTATTTAGAATGAGAATCTCTTCTGTAAATTTCATTTCACTGAACCTAAACGTTGTAATGAATTATAGATAGGCGATCTAATCCCCACACTGGATTTTTTTTTTTGTCCCATGTTTAACGATCTATTGTAAGACAGAATAGAAAGAGAATTCAGGAAAAGACAGTTTACATTTCTTATTAGAGCCTAATGGGATTCAGTTGGCAAGGAATCCTGCTTTTGTACCAATGTAAGAATTCAGAGCAACTTTGATTTTAGCTATCTAACCTATTGAGGGGAAACACAGGTGATGTTGTCCCTGAATCCGTCACCCATATGTGTTGATTCTGTTCAAGGGTCTATTAAAGTAAGGTAGACAGTTTTCCTGGCGAAAAGCAGATTAAAACAAGAAATATTGCACCCCTTCAAATTTAATTTCTGGTAGCTGTTTTTTTTATCCGAGAAAAACTCTATGTTTGAATACAAGTCTCAACTTCATTATGATGGCAAGGGAAACTTTGTGGATCTGCTTGTGCTGTGTACAGTATTTAGGGGAGAGTGAAAGCCACTGAGTCATTGTACGTACGGAAGAGAAACAATTTGAACCTGTCTGACATGATCCATTCCTTGTTCCTATTCCTGGGTTTGAAATGCTGTCCTCAGCAGAAGATGACTCTTTTAAGTCCCTAATCCATACAGAATCCTTGATTGGGGATATGTCTATGTAGTATCGGAGGGATGCCAGTGTGGTTTGTGATGGATGATTTTCCCTTCCTCCGTCATTCTATCTTTCTATCATTGGTTGAATTTTCCTGCGCTCAGCAAAAAAAAATAAATGGAAATCGCCAAAGCCCCAAAGTGCCCTTATGTATTTATTTAGGAACTTGCAGAAGTGCTGAAGCTAGAGGGGGGGAAAAAGGCTAAGGGAAATTGCTTGCTTGCAGATCATTAACCTTCTTGGGATTCCCCATCCCATCCCTACTCTTCCTTCTTTTCTGGCTCTCTTCCTGGACAGCAACCTCTTGAACGGAAAGACAGCCAAAATAGCTCCCAGCACAGCGTCTCCAGCCACCACAGCACCCACACGGCTTCACCGATTCACAGCACTCAGGTGCTTCCTGAATACCCTGTTCCTGAAACACCAGCAACAGACCAGCCGGACAACACAGGGCAGAAGAAGCCAGATCCATTCAAAATCTGGGCCCAGTCCAGGAGCATGTATGAAAGCCGACGTGAGTATGCCACGAGATATTATTATGCTAATGGCAGCTTTAGACAGCAGCGTCTATTCGTTATGATCAACTTCTGACTCCAGGAAAACGTTTGCTTGGACTGAAAAGAATACATTTGCCTTTGATTATATTAGTGGGATACGTGAGCAAGGGATGCTGGCTGTGGCTGGAAATGGGTGGGGAAAGAAACCAATATTTTGCAACTAGGAAGATTAGCAAATTATCTGTAATTGGAGGAGCATTGCTTACTTGCAAGAGGTAGATTGAGGGCTTAACAATGACCAAAGAAGGACCCATATTTTCAGTATTATGACTTCGGGTGGGAGGGAGAATGTCTGTTTATTTCTCTTTTTCATTTAAAAATGAATCCATTCCTAAAAGGGTAGATTGTCCAAATGCTTTTCTCAGAAAGACAAAACTGGTCAGCATTTCCTGTTTGTAGTTAATCTCTACAAAATCTTATGCTCTCAAGCCTTGATCTTGAAAAGGGATAATTAAGGAATTAGTTAAAATTGAACGTTACAATAGTATGCTTAAAGGACCTTTGGGTAGGAGCATCAGGCCCTTGTGTGTTCAATTATTGCGTTGTTTTTCATTAGTCAGGTTAACATTTCCTAGTTGGCTATTTGAAGTACAAAGGTTTAAATCCAAAAATGCTGTAATCCTAATTAAAAAAAAATACAGGTGCATGGCTGATAAACCATGCTTATCTTTATTATTATGTGTTGTTCCATCAATGCAGAAAACAAATAAATATAGTAAGCAGCTTTTATTGTAGTTATTAATAGATTCCGTCCACAAATAATTCAATAGAGAGTTGATTTGATTCCAAAGGATTTTGTTTATTGATTATTCTGACTATTTTAATGCATTTCTTTTTTCCCTCCCCCCCCTCTTTTATTGATGAATTATTTTATGATGAGATTGATAGCCAATATACTCTTGGGACAGAGTGTGATACAAATAAAGTAAATAAATAATAAGTAAAATTAAAAATAGATGTCATTGAATATACTTTTGATTTTAAATAATGGATTTGTTTTTTTAAAAAATAGCATCTTTTACAGCATGAATTATCATTTAAGAGTGACTTAGGGATAAAGCAGCTTTGAAACTACATACATGAAAAAGTGCCATTTGTCATGTGGAGTTGGGAATTTTGCACTGGCTATAGTTAACTGAATGGACTTAAAGTAAAATCAGCGTGAAATGTATTGCATGAAGGGTAGGAATACGTTGGTAGGGACTTTGAGGGTAAAACAATGCCAAAGTCTTTTTATTGCTTGGTTGTTCCTATCGTATTACTCATATTTGTTCTAAGAGAACGACAAAGGACATTTCTCCATACATTCAATTCTAAATAGCATAACAAACTTGTACACTAGCCTTTTACAGGTGGGTGGATATCTGCAGGCTAAGAATTAGACCCAAAGTTCTTCCAAAAAGGGCAAATACTATTCTGAGCTTAAAAGTACATCTTCCATAAAATATTAACAAATTTATTTTTGTGTTTCAGTTCTGGAAATCTGGGATAAAAATATGGTCAACTAATTAACTTATAGATTGCTCTGGACTATAGAGCCAGTCTATACCCAAGGTTCATCCTTCCTTTGTCTACCCAAAATATTAGTAGACTCTCCTCTCCCCCTCAAAATGTTCAACTGTTTTAGAGTAAGAAACAGTTAAGCATTGGTTTCTGATGATCAGAAGACCAAGGTTAAATCCTACCTTCTAGGAAGAACCTCAGAGCCAAGGGAGGCCACCTGATCTATCTAACACTACACCAGAAAAAGAGCAGATGCAGGACCAGGCCTTGTCCCTTCTCATCCTATAAAACAGTATTTCTCAACCTTGACTATTTAAACATGTGTGGACTACAATTCCCATAATTTTCCCACTAGCAATTGCCCATTATGATTGGGGTACTCTGAGAATTGTAGCTCACACATCTTCAAGTGGCTAGAGTTAAGAAACGCTGTTACAAAACAATGGCAAGAATCCCAGTTGCCAAACAGTCACATAAGCAAAGGAAAATCTGCCCTATGAAGTTTGTGTAAAGTGCGAGTTTATGATTTACCATTGCCTTCTAGATTTGAAGAAATGGTTTTCTTCTTTTCCTCCTTCACTTGGGTGTCTTGGTGTTTTTTTTTAGCTTAGAAAGCTGGTAGCAGGGTTGGCTGCACAATTGTTAAGTGACAATGACTCAAGGGAGGTAGCAGTTGACTGAAAAACTGGCAATATAATCCTTAATATGTGATATTAAGAAAATTCTCAACTCTGATATTCTAAATCCAGTACAATTCTAATGCAGATTACAAGGGGAAACTAGCCCCTAATATTTGGGAGCTTATTAGTTGCACATTTAATGTAAGCATGTAGCTTAGCCTAAAAAGATTTGGTTAGTTTTTGCATTGTCATCATGCAACTTCCGTTATATGGAGTTTTTGTCTCCTGTTCCCTCCCTCAATCATCCCCGCAGTAATATTTATTATTTATTTATTTTTATCCTTCTTTTATTTATTTATTTTTATAAATAACTCAAGTCTGCAAATATATCTAGAACTCCTTCCTCCTCCATTTTTTCCCAACAACCAAAGATGAGTAAAATGGGACTAGAACTCACCATCGCCTGGCTCTAGCCTGGTGCCGTAACCACTAGATCATATTTGTCTAAGACCCCCTCCCCCATAGCTATAATACTGCCAGCTAAACAGTTTATTAGAAATAGCTAATTACTAATTAGAATAAGAGCAACAGATTCAGCTGCAATCTGTTCTCCCTGCATCCGTGTGTGTGTGTGCGCGCGTGTATCTCTCTCTGTCTATCTATCTATCTATTTATCTATCTATCTGTATCTATCTGTCTGTCTGCCTGCCTGCCTCTCTGTCTGTCTGTCTATCTATATAAACACATGCATACATATATATTAATATATGTATATATGTGTGTCTGAGTTTTTCTCAACTTCTCCATCTACATATTTAGGCAACACTACATATTTAGGCAACATGCATGTTAGGAGTTTTGGAGTCCATAATTTTGGGTAAGGGGGTTTCTTCATTGCTAGAGGTCACAGTGAATGTGCTGTTATGTTGTTGTTACCTGCTCTACAAGTTTTCATTACTCAAAGACTCCCCTGGATGCTGACAGTTCCCCGTTTAAAAAGAAGAAAAAAGTAAAGGATGTTTCTCCTTGAAATGTAATGTATAAAGTCAGGATGGATGCAGCTTCTGAGGACATATAATGTAATCTATAAATATACTCTATACAACATATTCATACATAGGTTTATTCAGTTCCTAGTTGATTAAGTGTGGCCTTTTCTCCAGGTTTGATTTCTCCAGACTCCATGTTTCTTCAGAAAGAAAGGGGTTTTGAAAGAATTTTCAAAATCAACTTATCTTTTAGGATATTAATGCCTACTGAGATTTTTAAAAACTGCAAGAGTGTTTTGTTGCACATCAGTGCCTCAAAGGCTGGTAGATGGATTAAAGGGGATTTCTCATAGTAATATTGTTCCACCTGGGTTGAACAAAAGCAGCCCGTAGAAATGCTGTAGTGTAAACTGTATGACCATTGACACTTGCATAGGGTTTTATCTAATGCATATTTTAACATTATATTTGCTTTTTAAAATGTAATAACATTTTTAAAAACATTAGCACTTTTTTTTAGAAACGAGGTAATCAGAATTAGCTTAGAACATTCTAGTTTTAAAATTTGAACTTTGAAAAGTTCAAATTCTTTGAAATATTAATTTTGCCGTTATTTCAATTTTGCTGTTGTTTACCATTTAAAGAGACTATTCTCAACTGATCATTGTTATTTAAATCTATGAACAGAATTATCCTTTACTTAAAAATATTTTGGATTTTAACCAATAATAATGCATGAAGAAACATTGACAATAAAAGCCAACATAACAAAGAATATTACTGAATATTAGTAAGATTATAGGGAAAATACAGTAGAAGAGAGAGAATAACCAGATATTTTAATCCTGATTGATCGATTATGTGTTATCAGGTTGATGTTAACTCTTAGTGACCACATAGATTTTCTCCATGGTGATCTGTCTTTAATCTAGTCCTTCAAGTTTTCCAATGGTGGAATTTTCACATCATCATCATCATAGTAATAATATGTAATAAGTTTAGTAATAAGCCCATTGATACAATCTCAAACCAACTGGAGCACCATCAGTATTGTCAAATTCACCATCAGTCAATTGCAAAAGACAAGTTGACTTGGAACAGTTTACACCATGTGATGATATCTGTAACACCATCAAACATCCACATCTGCCTATCCCAGGTTCTTGGGAAGGACTTGATAGGTAGATAAAAATGCCCAGTCTGAACATCGGGAACATCTTAATTACAGTCAATTGCAATTACTCAGAACAGCTTATATCCCATAACAATACCATCAAACAATAAAAGCTGTTTTGGGGACTTCGGTTCATGCAAGATCTGATGGGCGGCTGACTACCAATTGCTCTGTTTGATCCATCCCAGAAATGCAAATGAGAGTAGACTGCTTCTGAAACTCAATCTTTCGCAGCCCTCCTTGGGCAAGCAGTCTGAGGGCTGATGTGCGTTTTGTCAATGAGCTGATGTTCCACCTCTTATGTGGATTGCCATCCAAATTTTCCCATACTTTAGACACAGAACAATTTTTATTGTGTAGAAACCTGTTTGGTTCCCTAGGCTTTCCTTTAACCAGTTCTCTGTTTGTGATTATGTTTGTGTGTGTGTCTATTGCCTGACCTCAGAAAATAATTCTAAGCCGGAAAAAAAACTAGATGATTCCCTTGCGCCCCAACGTTGCTTAAGACTACTGAAGAATGTTTTGGATTAGAAATGTATACAGGGCAAGTTAGAACAGTGGGCATAGCCCAGTGATGGCTAACCTTTTCAGCTTGGTGTGTCGAAAATTGGGAAAAAGTGTAGCCTTCCTTGGGTCGTGTGTCACTTCAAGAAATATCAATAATTTGGTTT